TTGTATTTTGGTTATTGTTTACGTCATCATCATACGGATGCAGGACTTGAAATCCAATGTGATTGTTGAAGATCACGTTGGCTTCTAATCAACAACGACATAGAGCAAGAGGTGGCGAGAAGATGGACATATTATGAAACAAATCGAACGGTAGACTAGTTGACCTAGGCATTGTTCAGTTGAACACTTACACTGAAAGCTATGAGCCGACATAAAACGGGGATGAGTGTTCTCTTGGATATCTTCTAGCATATTATAAGTTAGGAACATAGTGGAAATCGAATTCTCACAATATAAAGAGATGCAAATCAAAATACAAGAAGAGAGACCATAGATATTCTCAATCATTTAGATCATTTAAGTCGTAAAAATCATAATAATCATTGAAGTCCTAAAGTTAGTTGCTTCCTTCTTGCATGAGATGCTAAGGATCTTGGCTTTGCGACTGTTTTCGCTATTTCTCAATGTAACATGTAGAAATCTCAAGTAATAATGGGATGTAAAGCAATAAACATGATGTAAAACAATAACAATTTTCAATCTTACAGATTACCTAAGTCAAAAAAAGTCATGTAAAATCATTTAAATTATTTAAATCATAAAGTTCATTGTTTCCCTTTTGTGAATTACCCTATTCCAGAATGTTTCCTGGGTAATCCATGGTTAATTGGCTGAGATCAGGGGTCTCGGGAAAACCCTAATATATCTTGAACCGAACAAGCTAGAAAGTGGGCACACGTAGATTGAAAGAAAATTTTTCTACCAGAAATGCGAATTAACAATTCAGGCAGATTGAAAAATGGTCCAAACTATTGTGTTCAACATGTCCCTCGAAAGGACATTCGATCGGTCCATTGCTGACCACTCAGATTTTAGCGTATGTTGATGCGCCTGGATTTTCTCTTTTTAATGGTGAAAACCGCACCTCACTGCCTTACTCCTATCAAAGGTAATTCGAAAAAACCTAGCGGTCTTTGTTTTAAATGGGCAATAGTTATTTTCTATGCATATTTTGGAAAAAATCATTGTTTTTCTATCATCGTCGAAGCAAATATTGATATGTTAACATGTGAACAGAGTCTAGATGAATATTGACTAACATCCTCTTTCAAATATCCTGAGTTATTGATGACTTTGAGCAGCTTTCGCGATCTAAATGATCTAAATGACTTAAAGTCATAAAAGTCAGTTATTTCCCCCCTTTGTGTTACATACACAATATTCAAAATAATTGGAAATTACATTTTATCAATATATTGCTGGTACGTGTAACTTTGATTATTTCATTGTGACAAATAACTTCTTGAGATGATTCATAAACTCAAGACGAATATTTTAAACGTCATAAACATAGCTGATCTATAACCGACATATTCATGATAAAGGATTGAGGCAGAAATAAAATTGACACCTTGGAAGAAGTTTCATGTCTTTAATCGACTGCCCAATAAAAAACTGTTCGTTGAATAGAACGCAAAGAAGGGTGTGGGTGTGGGTCTAGATTTTCACAATATTCGGAAGCAACAACAATACCCACACCCTCAATCATATAGGTGAACAACACTTTCAAGCGACAATATTTAGGTTAAATTTCAGTTATTTTCATCATTTAGGAGTGTAAAGAAGAGAAATAAAATAGAATCTACATATGATCCCAACAGTTTATCTTCTGTTCTTATCTCTCATAAAAAACCTTGGATCACTCATGTAGACACAGTATGTGTGCCGTTGTTCGTAGATGTTTTATTTTCATTGCTCGAGCCAGATAGCTCTTTTTTGTGGTTAGGCACAAGCTTTGAATACGAATATTCTGATTCTTTTTTTACTCTTATCTGTGTGTAACTTCCACGAACATAAAATGAAAGTTATGAATTATATGGAGTAAGAGACACAGAACATTCTTTCTCATAAATGAAATATATGAGAGCGACGATGTCCAGTCTAGGTCGTGTTGCAGGATCCGAAGTTTCTGTGAAGCGAGAGAGAGTGCATGTGTAGATATGTCACTATAGCTTATTTCCATTTCTCTCGACGCCCTCTGACTAATGAAAGACCTTGAGGACAGTAACGGTTTACGTGTGCTTGTGTTCGTTCCTATGTCTGGTTGTGAATGGCATTGCGTTGCTTGGAAAATTACAACGAAGTCGGATCGATTCTCTTTTAGAAGAAGAAAGAGAATGAATGCCATGTCAACA